CTACGTCAGGGTATTGCTCTCCAGAAATTTTCAAATTTAGACAAAGACTGAAACAAATTTTGCTGTCACATGATAGTTAGAGAACTGCTTGAACAAAGACTTTTCAAATTTACTTACTTTCCTCTGTGGTTAAGTTCAAACGGTGATTAATTTCATGTCCAGCCTAGAAATACAACATAGTTTAGTTTTTAACACTTCTTAGTTTCAGCACCCTGTGAGAGATTATTTGACATGAGTTTGTAGAAAGAAGCACAATCATTTCACAGCATAGGACGTGCTGGCTAAAACTTAACATTCAGTGTCTGCCAGCACACATGGAGCTCAGGGAGAAACTTTAGTAGCCAGAGCAGAAGGTCACATCTTGGCAGAACAGTACTAGAACTTCTTCAATAAAACAGCTTTTATATATATATATGAATGAAACCTTTCAGGATACATTAAATGTCAAAATTGAAAGGTTAAAGGTTTTCATAAGCGCTCTATGTGGAGTTGAATTAACAAACTAAAAGACTGAGGTTTTTCAGGTGTACTTTTAAATTTTTTATGTGTTTCCAAGCCCCACCCTTTATAAAGCTGCTGTTTATTTCTATGCACCTTAGAGGATTTACTGTCTACAAATGAAGTAACCATTTCACTGAGAATCATGGCTATTTTCAGAGGGGGAAAAATCTGCAATGAATGCATTACATTTATCCCAGAGGCCTAAGTGTAAATGCAAATTCAGTTAAGTGGATACTATTGAAAAGGTGAGTCTGTGTTTGTTGGGTTTCATTATAGTACTTAAACTGATTCAGAACTTCCAATAAACCTACAGCAGAGGAGTTCTAGATAACCTGGAAATTTCTGTAGGTTTATGGAAACTCCGCCTTTTTTTTCTTTCCCTGGGTTTTCTAACTTCTCATTTCAAGTTGTGCCCATCTCTGCCATGATGCACAGATCAGAAAGTAATGTTATTTGCCTAATTTCAAAAGATGCAGATCATGATTCCCCACATAGCAAAAAGTTTAACACTTTTTAGGATACCAGGAACTGCAGCTGGAACAAATAGGAACAGTATTTTTTTTTTGTTTTTGAAAATACAGTAGATGTCATCTCAGAGCACATAAAAAGGGTTTATGTTAAGATTTATCACATCATTATTGCTAAAATAGAAAAAAAAATATCCAAGAACTGTACAGTATTCTGAGCTGTGGTTTGAAAAATTCTCCAAGTGAAATATTTACATCAGGATCATCAGTAGGGAGTAAATCCCAGGACCACTAGGCCTCCCTTATCAGCATGTACGTGTTTTCTGTTACGGGATCTTACCAGAGTGACGTGCATATGACTCAAGTCTGTAACAAGGGTAGCAATCCAAATATTACTTATTCTATGCAGTAAGAATTTATGAACCTATCAGGTCTTCCTTAGACAAACAGCTAGTATGATTCATCAGTGGTGCTTAGCGAAAGTATTGCGGTTTTTAATATTTTTTCATGTTACAGCCACAGAATCATTGGCATATCTGAGGGAATATTTGCGATTGAGAAACACAAAATGTGCCCCTTTACAAAGTAAAAGACAATTGATATATACTGTAACTTTTTTTGTGTTTCATAATGAAAATCCTGGATAGAGTTTGGGACTTAATGTTCTCAGCCCTTTTGAGACAAGTTGCAAGTCTTATGGACAAAATATCCAATCACTCTTTACAGAAAAGCTTAACTGTAGTCAGACTGAAATGAAAATGCTTTTATTTCCAATATAATTCCTGTCACTGATTCAAATAGATTAATTAGCTTCACTCTAAACTATGCCATAGCTGTGGCTATCTAACATGGGTTCAATGCTTAGGTTTCAAAGCCTGACAAACAGTTTTTGTTAGGAATCCAGTTTGTGTGGGTTGTTTGTGTGTTTTTCTCTCCCCCCACCACCACGTGGAGCCCTGTTCTCCTTGACCTTCCTGCACACCTGCGGCTCGTTGGTTAATCACTGAGCAGTATTTGAGCGACGGACTGTCACTACCTCGACGCCAGAGTGTTTGCCAGTTTTGGGTACTCTAGCCAAGCTGAGTTTAGCTGTGTCTAATCTGAGCCTTTGTTTCTCTGAGTCTACTGTAACTTCGTTTTTGTCTTTGCCTTTTCGACAGAAAGCCTTCCTTTGTAACTGGATGTCTGGCCTTCTCCCCCTGGAAGGATTAACTGAGTTCACACTGAGCAGGGGAAAACGTCCACACGTGCCGTTCCAGTCCCCATCGGAACTCCAAGTGACAGTCCGCTCCATTGCTCCTCAGTTTCCAACGTATGTCTACCTGTCGCTTGAAGATCTCCCTACAGTCGCGTAGAAAGCAGTGAAATAGAAGGTCTGGAAGTGAAACTAAAATACATGGTACCCTCTACAGTGTGAAATCAATGAGTAACATCCACCAATCACAAAAAACGGTCCATTGTACACGATTGGTTCCTGACACGTCAATCATGGTCGTCTGCTTGTCTCTCCCCCCTGTGTGCGTACCCCGACACATGAACGAATCGACCCCCCAATAGAGACTGACACGGGAGTGGATTTTCACTCCTGTCCTGTCCCACTCCCACAGAAAAAAATTGTGTCCCGTCCCGATCCCGGGCCAGAGTAGAAATCTAAATCCTGTCCCGTCCCACTCCTGGTGAAATTACTCCCACTCCCATCCCGCTCCCATTCAGAATGACTCCCGCTCCTGCCCCACTCCCATTCTTGTTTTTTTCTTTGAGCACTGGTGAAAAACTCAGAGCGGAAGCACTGTTGGTTTTTGGGTCGTGTAGTTTTTTTGACTCGCATTATAGTGTAGGCTTCAAGGAAAAAAACTACAAAATGGCGGTGCCGCGCCAGTACAGGATTTTTTTTCTTTCTATTTTATTTTATTTTTTGGCATCAATCCTAGTTTTTTTTTAATTATTATTGGTTTACTCCCGCTCCCGTCAGCTCCCGTTATTGTTTAATCCTGTACCGTCCCAATCACGTGATCGTTACTAATACTGACTCCCATTCCACGGGAATCCCGTGACCCGTGGGATTCCCGAAAAAATGTCAGTCTCTACCCCCCAATGCTCGTGCAGGACGCCATGGCTTTTGCACGCTGATGAAATTACTCCCTTGCTGACTTACTGTAAATTGCTTAATATGAAAGGGAATAAATACCAAAATTGCATATTGTATTCATTTTGCAAAAAACTCCTTAGAAGTGATTCATGTCCTTGCATCCCTTGTTGTGTGTTGAATTGCACGTCTATATAAGTTTTGAATTTTGGTAACTCCATTAAATTATTTCCTACTTCTTGATTTCTTTTTAAGTAGGAGGGGTCTTAAGAAGCAGTTGCTTCTTAAGACCCCCAGTTGCTAAGACAGTAATGAAAAAATATATTACATAGTTTCTGACATAATTCTAATATATATTAGAGCTAGCCCTTTTTAGTACTTTTGATTTATATTGAGATTACCGGTAAACTATAAAAGAAAAAATAACTCTTTACATATTTTTGCTGGTGGTCAGTAAGTTGAATTGTGTTAGTTGGGACACATGTACTTGTTCCATGTGAGGCAGCTGAAAGTAGAACAACTTTTTAGACTTTTGCTAAATCAAAGCACCACCATTAAATTCTGGTGCCTCTCGATAGGCTCAATGGAAAATCAACAAAAAAACGAATAAAACATACAATACAATGAAATGTCTTGGATCATGTTTTTTGACACTATAAGATAAACCATTGTGTGTTTTTTTAATTATTATTATTGCTGAGTTTTTTGTTATTTTGTGTTTTATAATGTTGAATCATAAACCTTTAATGAAAGAAAGGAATTCTGAAATACTGTTTTCCTATTGTGACCTGCTAGGCAAACCTTTAATTGCTCATGGACAAACATTGGTTTGGTTAGTAACTACTGGAAAATCCAGCACTGGTGAATGTTTTTTGGGGTTTACTTAAGTCCAAAATCCTCACAAATTGGCTTGTAACACATTCAAGACTGATAAATGTCGATGACTTTTTATGGGAGGCCCCATTAAAAAAACATTAAAATTGGCTTCTATTGAGGAAAGTTTCTCAGGAACATCCAGAGCAAGACCATCCAGCTTAGAAACTGTTTCACTTTAGCTGCACTTTTACTTTCTTTCACTTAAATATTAAGCTTCCTGTTTTTCACCTGATTCCAAGCTATGCACCGAAAACATGCAAATGGTATCTGGTATGACAGTAAAAAAAATCCCACGTCCCACAAAAATAATAGTCTGCCTATGATTTCATCTTTATTTTGCATTTTATTTTAAAATAATATTATAATCTTTTCTGTCTTTAAGATGATTAGATTTTGAAAAAATAACAAATCCCTTTTAATCCAACCTACTTCCTTCTTTTATTTTGCATTTCAGATGAGAGCTCAGCTTAAGGAAAGAGTTGACAAAACATAGCTGTACATTTATTTTTTTTTATTTTACTGCCCCAATTTTAGAAGGTTCTAGGCCATATCTTATGGTTCGGTATGTGTGAAAGAGGTGGATGGTACATTTAAGATAGTTTGACATCGTCTTCATGAAAGGGAATAGTTTTTGTGAGCATATGTGAGCATGCAAGAGCATGTAGAAATCTTCTCTCATAGTTTGTGTCCCATGTTTCTGTTAAATGGAGGTAGGATGTTCAACTTTGGAAGACTTTTCATGCTTTTACTTTGTAAGACAGATTTTTCCTTATGGTTTTCTTGACTACACAGTAGAGACTGACATGGGAGTGGATTTTCACTCCTGTCCCGTCCCACTCCCACAGAAAAAAAATGGTGTACCGTCCCGATCCCGGGCCAGAGTAGAAATCTAAATCCTGTCCCGTCCCACTCCTGGTGAAATTACTCCCACTCCCATCCCGCTCCCATTCAGAATGACTCCCACTCCTGCACCACTCCCATTCTTGTTGTCTTCAATAAAATTTCTACCAATACATTGAATTTCTATGAAGGGTCAGTTAAGTTCCTGTTTCTAACTGTAGTAACTGTTGGTCCCTCCATTGTTGTTTTTGAGCGCGGGTGAAAAACTCAGAGCGGAAGCACTGTTGGTTTTTGGGTCATGTAGTTTTTTTGACTCGCATTATAGTGTAGGATTCAAGGAAAAAAAACTACAAAATGGCGGTGTCAGTGCTCGATTTTTTTTTCTTTCTATTTGATTTTATTTTTTGGCATCGATCCTAGTTTTTTTTAGTTACTATTGGTTTGCCTCCGCTCCCGTCTGCTCCCGTTAATGTTTAACCCTGTACCGTCCCAATCACGTGATCGTTATTAATACTGACTCCCATCCCACGGGAATCCCATGACCCGTGGGATTCCCGAAAAAATGTCAGTTTCTACTACACAGGTAGGTTAGATTAGCTGAGCTCAGCTTTAAAACATTGTAATATGATGATTCAGTCCTTCATGACTGATCAAGGAAACAATTCATTTTCAGTTTCACATACAGCCATGTTGATATGGGCAGTTTCACCTCACTTAGTATAAATAAAACATTCTTTGTTAATTTTCTTTTGTATTTACTCAGGTGATATTTTGCTGGTAATACAGTACATTTGTTTGATGATCTGAAATACTTTAATGCGACAAGAAACCAAAATTAGAAGAAATCAATGATATATTGTTATATTGTTAGCTCTCTATTTGGTGAGATTATTTTTGTCCTGAAAAAGATTAGATTAAATATATACCTATTAGCAGGACAAACAAAGATTTTAGAGGCCTAATATTTACCTGTGTAGGTAAAATTACAAAAGAGAAATACAAAACAAAACAAAACTATGGCAATTATTTGGGTTTGGTCTGAATAATGACACTTTTAAAATCTGGTAATTATTACATGCTAAAGAAAATGCTTAAACCATTTGATATTTAAGCTGTTAAGTTCTCTAGTTTAATTTGGCTAAGATACCATGTGTTTACAACGGAAAGGAAACAGTCATTTCTAACTTGAAAGTATGAGTCCACATGATACCACTTACAATTACAAGACACTTGCATCCCAGCTCATCTCCAGGAACTAGGCTGATGAGTGGGCACTGGGTCGGTCTGCTCTGCTCCTGTGGGTGTGTGGGGGTGTAGAACGTTTCGCTGAGAACATGATTCATGCTGCCATGGGTCCCATTGTTGTCAGCTGGAGAGATCTCGAGCACGTCTGTGTGAGTAAATGATTCACTGTTAGTAACTTGACAAGTAGTGCTTTATCCTGCACACATGATGGAGCGGCAGCCTAGTGGGCAGGGCTTTGCAATTCAATTTCTTCTCTTTATTTTCTTTCACTTAAATATTAAGCTTCCTATTTCTGATCTGATTCCAAATTATGCACCGAAAAAATGCAAATGTGATCTGGTATAACAGTAAAAAAAATCCCACATGTCCCACATGCTTACATAACTGCTGTTGGGAGCTGGAGTAGTACCACCTTCCTCCAGCAGAGTCCGCCGTGGATCCTCCTCAGCCTAGCCTCCTGCACAGCTGAGACTCATTCCTTCATCAGAGGGTCCACACTATATAAGCTGTCTTCAGACCTTGCCTCAATGTCGCAGTGTTGAATTCAGTTGGTTAGCACTTAAGCCAAGATCCTTCTGAGCACTTTGTTGACTTTGAATCCAGACTGGATTCTAACCCTTTTTGTTTCTACTTTCAGGAAACCTGTTTTTGTCCTGTGAAGCTCTGGAAGAGCTTAACCGGCCGAGTCTGCCCTCTGAGCCAAACCTGAAGACTCCTCTCTGG